AAAAAAAAGGAGGAAAATTTTTTTCCTCGCCGGCCTTGGGAGGGAGCGGGGGGGGGGGCTTGGATTCCCCGGTACGGGGGTGGGGGGTTTCCCCGGTCTGGGGAAAGCTGCCCCCCGCCCCCGCGGCGGCTCCCCCCCCCCCCCGGGGGTTGGCCCTTTTTTTGGGGGGGGCCCTCAGTTCCCAAATTCCCCCATCCCCCCCGCGGGGGAATAACCCGGAGGGGGAACAAAGCCCTTTTTTTTTTTCCTTTTAAACCCTTCCCTGGTTGGTTTTCCCCCCCCCCCCCCCCCCTCTCTCTCTTGGCACTATGTCGCTGCCGGGACGATCGGTTGCTACTGCGGGTTGTGCTGTCCCTGCGAGCGGCTTCCGTTGCCCCCTAGTGAATTTGGAGAAAGGACGAGGAGGGGGTGACGTGCGACGGGTCACGCGGGACGTCCGACGGGTGTATGTGTGGATACCAAATTTTTCCGAAAAAGGCAGACCACAAGAAAACCACGAGCAAAATTCCCAGCATGATGATAGACGTTCGTCTCCGTTCACCTGGATCCACACGACGAGTAAATCTTGGTGAGCATGATAAGGTATTGTTCTCGCAAAATACTACTTCAGGAGATACTTTTGGTCAGATGTCACCCAGTCATCAGTCAGCCAATCGGTTCCTTCATGGTGTGTGCAAGTCTGTAGACTATATAGTCTGAGAACAAGGTGTGTGTTCTTCTTTATTAGGAGTATTTTTTTCAATAATTCAGTCCTCGAAGGAACCCGACAAAAATAAAGAGCCGCAACGCTATTTACTACTGGTTCATATTTACTTACAAACCATCAGTATCATCATGCATGCATCCAAGTTGCCCCAAATGAAACAGGGTTCTCTTTGTTCCTGTCTAGAATCGCGGCCTTGACACTCAGGATTGATTTCGGTGGCGCGGTGTCTCCCATGACCATGTCTGTGACATTATGTACGGACCTCAACGAAGGCAAGGAGATTAATGCAACTCGTGGGAGTAAGGTCTGTTCCATAGATGAAAAAGATGAAACACAGCGAGGTCGAAGAGCCCTTCCAGGGTACCCTCGCTAGATGGAGACCGAGGTCGCGGTGGTAAATTTAATCCACTACTAGCTGTAATAGAAGGCGGCAGCTATTGATCTCGATATTTGTTGAGGAGGAACGTCTCGAAGAGAGTAAGATCGAGTGTCACCGAAGGGGACGGCAGGGTAGCCATAAGGCTGAGACTTTCTTCCCCCCACAGCCCATCTCCGCGCAGCAGGTAGCTTTGGGGTTTCTTGGTGTTCAACGATCAGTAATTTACTCCGCTCAGACCGTACCTTACAGTCCTTTTTTATCACCAGTTTAATATGCAACGCCACCTCCACACACACCTGCCCTCACGTCAACCCCCCCCTTGATGCGCCATACACCCATCCCTGCTAAAGATTTGAACAGATGGATTTTGGCGGGCTCAAGGTATTGGGTGACCTTCGTGGAAGAATCACCTCTAGACTGCAATACCCCTGTCCTCCACAAAAAGTGCTACTTCGAGTAGTTACCGATGTATCGACTTGGCAATCCCAACGGGGAAAGTCTGTCGCAATAACGGGCGAGAACCTCGCTCGTTTCGACCGACAGAAGCACCAACCAGAAGTCAGAGATTGAGAGACAGCGCCCACTTAATTTCGAAAATCAAGAAACGCCTTAAAAAGTGGCTCCGTAAAGTATCCCGGACAGACCCCGTCCGCCACACCCGTCAATTATTTTGATCCCAACACCCCCAGCCTTCATTTTCCCATGTATAACCGCAATCGGCATACCTCGCACGACAACCCCTCGAGCAGGCAGATGGCAACGGGAAACAGGAAGAAAGAAAGAACGACAGAAAGAAAGAGTGGAAGAAAAAGGCCACGTGCATACCGCCTGACGACCTCGACGTAAAATCTCTGACGTTGTTTCTAAAACACCCTCCCCGCCTTGCCCCTTGCACCGGATGCCCCAAAGTGTGCGATGTGCGAAAAAGAAGTCAACGAACGGCACAGAGTCTTTCGCAGGACGCTTCGAGGACCAACGACAGAGACAGGTGCGCCGATACGGCGTTCCGCAAGACTTATCTACGTCACGTATCTCCTCGGCGTGCCGGTCGACGGGCGGCCAGAAACCGCCTGCATCGCTCAAAGGGCTGTGGTGTCAAAAACACGGCGAAACATTCAGCGTTTCAAACTTCAACAAATACTTTTTGTATGTAAGTTGTAGGAACACTTCGTTTCTCACGGCAGGTGGCCGCTTTTTAGGTTGGTTCTCGACCGCCCTCCCGTGCTACACCCCCCTCCCCCCAACCAAGCCTTCAGAAGGTAGACACGGGGACAGGCAGCTCGTCGTTGCGAGGGGGGGGCTAAACATTGCACCCCCAGCCTTCTCCTTCAAAGACTCACTAAAAGCGGCACAGCAGAAAAATATCACCAGTGTCTTAATGGGGCTGGGGGACGTGGCCATCTACGTAGAAATTTCTAGTCGCTGCCGGCAGTTTCACCTGCCGTGGGAATGAAAGAGAGTACGGAACAACAAGAGAAGGGGTATCGACGAGCGGGGATCATATTTAGCTGCTTGGGCAGACAAAATTCAAGAAAAGTTGAACGCACTTTTCAAGGGTATGGCGGCGGGCAGCGAGCAAGCCATCTATGGCACTGACTACAGGCCGTGAGACTGCAGCGGAGGAAGAGACCACTATTGTGTATGACATGTGTCACAATACAGGCAGGCTGAAGACTTCAAACAGGCAACGACAACGACCAAAATACATCGACACTGGAGACGGCCAGATGCGCTCACCACTATTCCGTCCATTTCCGGAGTAACGATCACTTGGCAGCCGAGTCGCGACCTGACACAAAGAGGGCCAATATATCAAAGTGACGCGGGCGGGGTCAGACACATACGGTAGGAAAGGACTGTGCGTAGCAAAAATCATCACCTGCAGACTCGCGACAAACGTGTCAAAACGAATCAACACAAACCGGACCAGACCATCGAGGACGAATTTCAACCACTCGTGTTCTCTTTCGCCAGTCAACGCCCCACACGCACACGCGACCGCTCTGAGACTGGCGAATTTTCATTGGTCAGCCGGTTAGCGCGGTCGATGCTAACATGAAAACATACACACGAAGACTCACGTTTCGGTTAAGCCGAAGGCTAGGTCAAGCATGTCTTCCTCGTCCTCGCTCGCCTCCGGCAGTTGGTCGAACACCTCGTTTGACATTATCACGTGGCACGTAGAGCAAGCACAAACGCCCTCGCAAGCACCTGCAAAAATCACACCAAACGGAAATGTTGCTGACGAAAAAAGAAAATAGTCTGGCCTGTTCAAAAAACAGCTCCGCTTTTCAAGTGGCACAGGCTAGAAGGTGGCTACATCCAAAACAAGCAAACTAACTTTTGTCGTTTAAACCGACAAACAGCTAGACCTCCTCTGAATACTCGTTTGTTCTCCCTGCAGTCCGCGCAACCACTAGCGCCGTTTCTCAAAACGAACACATCGGTCGTAGATTTGACGGTCAACGAGGGACACACCATTTTTCTGAGGGAAGGGGAGCATCCAAACCAGCACCCGAAAACATGTACGATACATATCTACGAGACCAGCAGCAAGACAAACTCACGACGGCAGGCAATTCTTGAGCAACCGAGTAATCCGTGGAGCGGTGATGGCACGTCGCTCGTGTGACGCAGCGGGCAAGCTGCTTTGCGCTGTAGCATACGGTACGAGCCTCTACACATGAAGGTGACAACACGCGACGATACTACAATCGATACGATGGGTGGTTGCAATGGTCTACGGGCATTCTGAGTCAATTCAATGCTGTTTCGGATGAGTTGGGGAATACTTGATGCCGCAAGAACTGTGACGGAACCGCACCTTCCAAGTCGATCCCGTGCTTGTGCGCCACCCTCATGAGGTTCATGCCGCACTTGGCCGTCGTCTTCTTCAAGCCGTCCTTGTTCTCCCACGTTATCTGCACCCTGTAGCCCATGGCGGTTTAGCATGGACATGGTGAGGGTTATTCGAGTGTCCGAAGTTGCGACAGGTGTTGATACTGGTGTCCGAGATGCACGCACAATATCATATGATGGCTCCCACACTCCCTGCATAGTTTAACCGTTCGGTACGGATATTCAGCCACCGTGACGACGCTGGCAAGCTGGAAAAATGTCCGCCGCGGCCACCCCTTCCTCCGCTTTGAGCTCTGGAATACGATACGAGTCAAGAGTTCAGCCTGGGTCTCAAACCCTCGACTAACTTTTAGAGAAGCAGTCGATGTCAAGCCATTAGCGCTGGCAGACTACAGCCTTAACGTTTTCGATTTTGGCTTCAAAAGTACTTGTTTCGCCCCGCTGCACTACCGAGTATTCTTCCTGCTCTACAAAACGGCGCAGCAACGAGGGGCATGTTGGGCACGATTGAACCGCATACCGCTCCCATAGCTGACACTATTGCGTAGCCCTAGAAACACTACAGACCTGCCTGAGACTGCAGAAATACCGGTTCGTGTCGTTGTCCTCTTACGTTTGCGCGTGCTCGAAGCCCTCTTCGTGATCCCCATGGCAAGCTGCAATTGCGGCACGAAAAGGTGCCAACGAAACGCACGTGCGGCGGACGACAGCAGAGGTGAGGCTTGGGCGACGCGCTAACCCTAAGTACCCAAACTGAGACCTCTTGAGGTGTAGATGCGTTCATGTCTGCTAGAGTTCTATTGGGCGTGTATGCATATGTGTATGCATTACTGTATACACCGGTTGTCAGTCAAACCCCCTCTACTTTTCAATGTTGTTTCGGAAATAACAGATGCTACAGAACCCAGTTGTTACCATAGGATTCAAAATACTTGAATACGACGACAAACGGCAGGCTTGCCAAGTCATCGCACCCCCGTGCTGTCGTTTTGCAGTTTAACCATTTCTCCATTGCACGTTCATCGCACAGGGGTGTGTTGACTCCGGACTGGTGCTATTAATACGGGCTTGCGATAAGACGCAAACATGCGGATGATGCCGAGGTCTACAGCGGTGAAGAGGTTCTGTGTTGAACATCGGGGGCTGTCATGAGTGCAGCGAAGGAGCATTATTAATAGCTTCCTTCGGCGGCAAGGGTTTCTGTCGGCATAGACTATATCTTCAACAGCCGGCCATGAGTCGGCGCATCGCCAAGTGCTGTACGCTACACACAACCACGATACCGTTACAATGCAGCAGCAGCTGAGTACCGTCCCCTGCGGTACACAGTCTCACGCCACATGCGCCTACGAGCACATGCCTTTTCACAGAGTCATCATGTACATGATGTTTCGATGGTGTCAACATGCCTACATCGGGATGAGAATGGTGTATGCCGACTCCGGATACAAGCAGCCCATAAGCAACCCGTACCATGCGGTTCAATTCGAGTCGTCTGAACTGCCCCCATGGTCAAGTCCGACTTCCATTACTCAGCAGCCCGGTGGCAAAGATGCTGGGGCCTTTTCACATCCACTACCTTTCAGTTGAGTGGGTTCGCCAAACTGGTGCAAAACAGGAGCTGTTGTTGTCCTGAAAAGACCAACTAGCATAATACCACTGCCATAGTCCCTGTCACCACTGCCAGCTTCAGGACACGGTCTCGTCTACCTCTTGCGGTGGAAGAAATGCCCCGCCTTCGCTCCAAATGCTGCAACGCGGCGACGCTCGGTGCTGCGGCTGCTCTTGCTGCCGACGCTGCTGCTGCGGCGCCGCATCTCTCACGGCACTGCCGTGCAGCACCCTTCGCATTCCGAGACAACGCCCGAGAGGTCGCCGAGGTTGTTGTTCGCAGCAGGAGAGCTCCGAACGCCGCCATGCTTGGACAGAGAGAGGTTGTCAGCAGCAGTGAACCGCTGTGTTGTGTGTTGCACAACGCACCAAATCGCTGGAAGGGGCCCCGCGGATCGGATCGGAGTTGCATTGAGCAAAAATTCTGGTTCGGGGTGGTTCATCTCGTGGCTACTGCTGTGCTCAGCTCTCAGCCGCAGCAAGCAGCGAAGCCAACGCCGTCGGCTCAGGCAGGACAGCCAGCTCGGCGAAGCAGCCATGCACCGTGCTGTGAGTATGCGGCTGCGCCCGCTACCTTGCCCGCCAAGGCTCTTGCTACGCCGTCTGGCTAGCGAGGCTTCGACGCCGGCACCACTCCTGCTGTCGGCTTGCCGCCGTCCCCTCCATCATCAGCAACCACTACCGCGGTCAAGTGCAGTGAATGTCAGCCCATCCACTAGACGGCAGGCGAGAGACATCAGCTCGACCGCTCCCGCCTGGAAGGGGAGAAGAGGGGGCGCGTCTGCGCTGATGCCAAAGAGGTCCGGGCCCGTGCGGCGGAAGATTCCGGGTGCTGGCAAGAAGAAGAAACCTAAGGTGTGTTGTCTGACTGCATGCTCCAGTGCACATCTCTCAACACATGGTAAACACTGCTGCTTGTACCTGATTGCTTGCCATCCAACTTGCCGTGTACACATGTTCCCGCCGACGGCAGCATCCACTAAATTCCAGATTACCATTGCACGTAACCAGCAAAACTTGCCCCCCCGGGATGGAACACCCGGTACGACGTCTAACCTGTCACACTGCGGCTTCGACGGGCCTTTCCAAACGCCGCTTTCCAAAAGGTGCATGGCGCGCCCATGTCTCGGATCCACCGCGACCAGCGGCTGGAGGCGGATGGGAAGGCGCAGATGGAAGCTATGAAGGCTATCTCGCCCGAAGACCGGGCTAAGTGAGTGGACGCAAGGAAGGAAAGAAACAAGCTGTTGGGGAAGGACCCTTGCTCGCAGTTCAAACCCGCAGCAGTACGGGATGCAACTCCTGCTCTTGAAGTGACATGTTTCAGAGAGGTTGGACAGCGGTGTTTGGCATCCATGCATGCATTCGGCGCATCTGCCCTCAGCAGCAGCGAGAATCGAACACGGGTGGAGCTGGAGAGTACGCACGTCCATATCATCCACGCTGTGAGAATAGAGCGCCTGGTGTTTTTAGTGTCTTGAACAACTCAACTCTCCGACCCCGGGCCCCGCACTCGCTACTGCTGTACGTCTCCGCAGAGTGCAGGAGATGACCGAAGCCTTCATCAACACCCCGCTGGGTGCGCAAGACGACAGCATCAACGCGTTCCTCCGCCGGAAGGACCCGGACGCCATGATGCTCAACCTCGGCATGAGACTCTCGGATGACGACCACGCCATCGCCGGCGGCGGGAGCGGGGAGGGTAACCTACCGCTGTCCGCAGACTGCCCGTCACCCTCGCCGCTACTGCACGATGGAGTGGTAGATGCAACAGCAGCGGCGGCGGCGCCCGAGCCGCCGCCGAGCCGTGATACTCTACCGTTCCCGTCGCCGCAGCCGTCATCCCCATGGTCGCGCGAACCATCCGGCATGTACAGTAATTCCCCTGCCCCGCCGACACCGCCCTATCCCTACTCCTTGCCCTCGTCGATGATGCCTTACGGGGGCGAGGCCGGGATGGGGTCGCCGCGCGGCGGCGGCGGTGGGGGGGGAGGGGGCGCCGCAGAAGAGTTCAGTTTTCTGGTACGGACCCTCGGTGCTCACGGGAGGTTCGAGGAGGCTAGGTCTAGGGTAATTCCCGAGATGAGACGGAGGGGAGTCACGCCGACCGAGCACACGTTCGCGTCGTTGCTTGCTGGCACTGCCATCGAGAGGGACCCAATCGCGGCGGAACAGGTGGGACGAGTGACGGGGCTGACGGACAGTGGGGCGGATGATCACATGTCGTTGGGGGGGGGGGGGGGGCTGGCGTATACGAAGCAGCATCGCGTCGTTTTGTTTTTGGATTGGACGGTGTCGGTGAGGTTGGCGAAGCAGATACAGTCGGGGTTCGTGAAACAGTTTAAATGATGCTCGAAACGTTTGTATGCTGAAGCATGCAGCAATAACAGGACGACGCTCTTTTTAGCAATACTTGATGGCTCGCTCGTTTCGGAAGATGTATCACCGAAAATTGTATCCCAGGCTAATATAAAAAGGCCGTTGTGATTGAAAATGGCAGCGGGCTGTGGTTGACAACTTTGACGTTGACTTGCGAGTAGCCAAGGTGAAGTTTTGATGACGACTGGTCTTGTGTTATATATTATTGCAGCGGTACAACGCTATCGCAGGGTCGGCGATCGTATGCCGCATCCCATCGCAGGCTGTTGAACTCCGAAAGCGTCTTGGCCATACTTGCTGCTGCGGCTGCTGCTGCTACTGCGGCTGCGGCTGCTGCGGCTGCTGGTGGTACTGTTCGTATATGGCTCACCATTGTTTTCTCTTCCCCGCTCCCACTCCACAACCATGCAGGTCTGGTCGGAGATGGTGGAGGGGGGCATCAGGCCATCGGCCCACGCGTGGTGTTCACGCGTGAACGCCCACGCCAGGGCCGGCCGCATGCGGCGGGCTCTGAGTCTGGGCAAAGAGATGCGCGAGCAGGGCCACCCGTGGGACGTGGCGACGTACACCTCGCTCATCGCCGGCTCCACGCGCAAGCGAAACTACTCGGGGTGAGAGAACGTACGCCTTTCAGACACAGAGCATTTCAGGCGCCATGGAGAAGAGATGGTGCCTGAAGTTAGCTTTAGGTGTTGCTGCCCCAACCGTCCGTGTTGGATGGCTGACGCGTGCTCCTGGTATCACTAGCAGTTATACAATTGTCCTTTCAGGTCATTAGCGGTTGAGACAGGTCGAGCAGCCGTTCGTCTGTTTTCAAGCAGCTTTCGACCTGTTCAGAGCAGCGTTCGACGGTTTCACCTGAACAGACCGACTGAAAAATATGCCACTACATGTATATTTGGGAATATAGGGACCATTGTGATATTCGCATTTGTATGAAAATGTTCGTAATATTGACAAACAGGCTGGTACGTAGCCCAAACAGGGTGTACATAGTCCAAGCAGGGTGGTACATAGTCTAAACAGGGTACATAGTGATACATAGTCCAAAAAGCGTGGTACATAGTCTAAACAGGGTACATAGTGGTACATAGTCCATACAGGACATAGTCCGAACAGGGTGGTACATAGTCTTCCCCGCCACCTCCGTCTGTTTTGGGTTTTTGTTCAGGGCGTGGGGGCTGTGGAACGACATGGTTATCTGGGGCGTGCAGCCGGACGCGATGGCGTACAACACCATGATGAAGCTCTGCGCGGACACTCGGCAGTACGAGAGGGCGATGCTGTTCCTGGATGACATGGACATGGAGGGTCTCAGGCCTTCCAGGATCACGATCGAGACGCTGCTCAAGGCTGCGGCCACGGCGCCTCAGTGGATCAGAGTGAGAGAGCGACCGAAAAATATGTACCCTTTCTCGTCACTGCTCGAGGGACGGATGTGCTCGCCGAGTCAAGTGTGGTACCTTTTTTCGGTGTCTGCTGTTTACGCCCGGAACTCAAAGATTTTGTTGAGTTGATTCTGAAGATATATGTACCGCCAACGTATGTACAGACTGGCGATTACGTTGCAAAATTGGGGATTAGAGGCGCAAAAATGCGTGAACCAACACGCGTTATTTGTCAGCGCGCCAAAACACGCGCTCTGCGGGAAACAGCATGACGAATCGTTGCAGGTCTGAGGTACTCGTGTGGTGAGGCCGTGCTTTCCTGGAAGCATTCAAGGACCTTGCACAACACAATGTGGTTACCAGAGGTCTCATTCGGCAACCGAGGGTCACATGAAACAGACTGAAAGTGGTCTCCCAAGTGTCGTCTTAGTGCGAGGCTGGGTATCCCCGAACCATGGTACTCGGCCGGTGGGCATGCCTTTTTGTGTGACTTAAGGATGATACACTCCCAATCAGCCAGGCAACAAGCGCGGGCTCTTCTGTGAACCATTCCGCGGAAGTAGTAGTTGTTGTGCGTTTTTGTTTCAAGGTTCGGCCGTGGTACCTGATGAGGGGCCGGTGCCAATTGTACCTCATGCCCTTTTCCTTGTGGCGGGATAGGCTGGCTTCACAGACAGACTTTGCGTCGACCGCACAAGAAATACCCGTCTTATTCCCTCTACCCCCATGTTTGCGCTTGCGCTGCTGTTGCACCGTGCCGTACGTGTCCCTAGGCCTATGGCACCATTGTGGATGATCTCGTGCAGCGCTTCATCGGCCTCGGAGTCACTCCAGAGGTTGACACCTACCGGGCTCTTTTGCTCGCCTATAGCAACGGCGGTGACGCGGACAAGGTATGCTTTGGGTAGTACGGTAAGGCACTGCCGCTTGTCCCGGTATGATTTTGGTGGTAAAGCCGTGCCGTGTGTCCCGGTACGCGATTGGTGGTATGGCACTGCCGTGTGTCCCGGTATGTTTTTTTTGTATGGCACTGCCGTGTGTCCCCGTACGCTTTTGGTGCTATGGCACTGCCGTGTTCCCGGTACGCTTTTGGTGGTATGGCACTACCATGGTCCCGTTATTTTGGTTGCCAGGTTTTTTCGGGTTTCGGTGATTTGGAACGCACCACCCGGGCTCACACTGGCACTGTTGTTGTATTGTACATGTGCATCAGATGAGTGAGGGGGGCGCTCAGATGGCAACAGGGGGTACACCAAGGCAGTCATCCACTCTCATCCGAATACATGGTCTCGGGAGAGGGATCTCGAATCAAGACTGCTTGACCAACAACACATGACGGGCGCCAAAACGTTGATAACATAGGACTCTCACACACACGGCAGGTCTTAACTGCATGAGGCACGGTCAACAAGACATAGCATGACGATCACACACATGAACGTCTGAACGTCTTAAAGCCTGGTTGAAGCACCAACGACAACCCAGACGCATCCCCAAACCTTTGGTGGCTTGGAAGACACACACACAAAGTTTTTGACTGGTTGAAGCACCCACGCAAAAATTGACGCACCCTCAATACATTGACATACCGTTGAACACACACACAGCGATTGTAGCTGCTTGGACCACCGACGACAATTCATGACGCCCCCCCGCCCCCAACAATGGTAACTTGGAACACACATGCACTAACAGGTTTTGCAGTGCATCGAGGAGGTGCACGTCCTCGAGGGACACACGGCGGACAACCTTGGTGACGGTACCCCCAGGCTTCCCTGGCAAGCCTACTGCGATTCCCTGGACGCGATAGCGAGGTGCACCAGCGTCGGCCGACACAGGGGCACTCCGGCGAGGTAATTCATGGACGGTGATTGGTTGATCGATTGTTGCGAAAAGCGGCACCTGTTAAATGGTTAGTCGAGGTGCTTTGGCGCTGATTGGTTGATCGATTGTTTCGAAAATCGGCCCTAAGATAAGGGTAATCGAGGTGATGGACGCTGATTGGTTGATCGATGGATGCAAAAACCGGTACCTGTTTACGGGTAGTCAAGGTGGTTGGCGCTGGGTGGTATATCGATCGTTGCGAACAACGGCATCTGTCTAGGGGTAGTCGGGAGTGTGGCTCCTAGCGACCCCGTAAAATGCGATACCCCCGCCTAGTTCAGGGCTCCTCACTGAAATAGACGCCCTTTCTTTCAACGACCAAGGTGATGCTCCTGGTAGTTGACACTAGTCGGACATGTTGGTCAATCTGCGATAGGCTTCGATTTGTTGGGGTCCAGGGGGTCTATAGATGGCAACCTGCGCACACCCGCACCGGCAGACCGCGAAACCACGGAACCCCTCTTTTTTTCTACGGTTTGTGTTGTGCTTTTCGTCAGATGTTCTCCCCCCCCCCCCGCACCGGCAGACCATGCAAGAAAACACCGAGCCCATGTTCTCCGTGATCTACTGTTTGTTGCGTTGTGCTTTTCGTCAGGTGGGGGATCCTCCCCGGGCAAGACTCGCTGGTGATGGACATCACGTCCCTCGAGGTGCCGGAGGAAGATTTCAGCCGGGTGAGGGAGATGCAGATGGCCGCCATGGAGTGGGACGAGGAGGGGGAGGCTGCCCTCAAGAAGGGCTTCAGGAAGGGAAAGCGGACCAAGTTTAGGGGTGAGCGCGACCGAACGAGCAAAGTCTACTGGTTTTGATTGATGATATACACAGCACTGCCGCTACTTCCACCTCGCAGGTGCTCGGTATCGCGTCTTACTCTCAAGGCCTGCTGATGGTGTGTATTTTTTACAGTGTCCCGGTGCTGACCCTTTTTTTTTTTCGTCCGCCAGCTCAACAACCGTCGATGGCCTAGGGGGTACACTGCGCACGCACACTTCAATCACCGACTTTCACGCTTGGTGTGTTTTTCTCATTACGCACACGCGCCGTTGGTATTTTGGTATTTTGATCCCTTTGCTCTCGTTGCAGCTCTTTCATTATTGATTCAGCGTTTGCGACTCTCGACGATCAATCAACATGGTTTTTTCCCTCATTGTGCGCACGCCCGCTGTATCAGTATGTTTCAACATCTCAATACCCTGCTGTGCGTGTGTGCGTGTTTTTTTTTTTTTTTTAGCATCGACCGCGCTAACCGGCTGACCAATAAAAAGACGTCAGTCTCTGCGGTTGAAAACACAAAACAGATAGAGATGGATTCGTTGTGTCATACTAAGAAAAATAAAAAAAACAGTTCTAAATGTCATTAACTGGGACCCCGTGTGTGTGTGTGTGTGTGTGTGTGTGTGTGTGCGTGTGTGTGTGCGCGTGTGTTTTCAGGGGTCACGACTCCCGACGACCTTGTTGGCGACGACGAGTACGAGCGAGCCATCGCAAGCCAGTACGAGCAAGTCATGGACAAGGCGAAGGCCATGAAGGAGGTAGAGCGACGGGAGGCCCTGCTGCAGCTGGGCATAGACCCAGACGAAGGGGACAAGGAGGCCAAGACTCGTCCCCGGGTACTGCCAGACCCGCGGGACCGGGAACGGATAGAGGCTCCCGTGCCTCATTGGCTCAGCGGCGAAGCGAGCGATCCGCTGCCTGGGTTAGCAGAGCAGCAGCAGCAGCAGCAGCAGCAGCAGCAGCAGCTTGGCATCGGTGGGGGTGACGGCGACTGGGGAGGTAGAGACGTCGGTGGGGGGGAGGGGGGGCACCGGGATCGGCGGCTGCTCGACTTTGATGGCCATGGCGACGACGGCGGCGACTTTGTCCGGTCCGCAGATGGCGGTAGCGTAAGAGAGGGGTGGGGGGGGTGGGAGGAGGAGGAAGACGACGTGTCTGGACGAGAGTCTCGGAGAAGGGAACACCAATCACCAGAGGGCACCGGCGACCCCGCTGGGCGAGTTTCGAGCAGGTTGTCGGGGCGCAGCGGCGAGGAAGAAGGCGTGTTCAAGAAAGCGTCGATGCTGGATCTCTTGGAGGGCGACCAGGCGGATGGCGGGGTTAGCGGTGGCGAGGCGAAGGAGACAGGTTGGAGCGAGGATGAGGATGGCCGACTGGTGCTTCCGGACAACCTGGAGGGCATGATGGAGGAGGTCCGGGCGTTGGCGCAGCAAGACCTGGACAGGAGAAAGAATCGACACCCGCACTTGAGGGGGAAAGGGGACGATGATGATGATGATGATGACTGGGAAGAAGAAGAGGAAGAGGAAGAGGAGGAGGAAGACCAGTGGGGCTTGGAGGAGGAGGAGGCGTTGGGCATTGAGGACGTTGGCGCGACGAGGGAGGAAGAGCAAGAGGAGGAGTTTGGCTTTGAGGACGTTGGTGCGAAGAGGGACGAGCCGGAAGTGGAGGCGAACGCCGCCTTTGAAGAGATGTTGGCCGAGTCGAGGACACAGACATTGGGGGCCGACCAAGAGCAAGAGCAAGAGCAGATACAGCGGTTCGGCGACGATGATGGCGACGAGGACACCTCTTCTTTCTTGGACGGAGAGGAGATCGCCGACGTAGAGGACATCGACAGCGTCCACGACGGCAGCTCTTTGATAGACCAGCTCGATCGCCTCCAAACCCAGCAACAAGACGACGAGGAAGCGGAAGAGGAGTACGAAGACTGGACCCCTCTGATGCACCAAGGGCTCAAGGAGCGGACGGAGGCGCTGATGGGGGTGGTGCAGCTGCTCGAGGCGGACGGCATGGCGGCGGCCAGGGCCGCAGACGCAGAGAAGGGGTTCCGTGTCGGAGGGGAGGGGGGGGCGGGCCCCGCGGTGCGGCGGATGCTACGGTCGAGGCTGAAGACTCTGACGGAGTCGCGTCGGTGCAAGGAGGCCATCAAGTTCGTCGATGAGGAGTACCCTAAGGAGGTGAGGGTGCGCGCGATCGAAAGACGGCATGTGTAATGTGCAATGGGGTTTCTGACGTGTGTTGTAACAAACTGGGTGCGGGGTAAGGAAGGGCCAATCCGGGGGAGGTTGTGTAGGATGGAGTGTGGTTGAGAAATAAACTAGTGTTTGTTGTACTGGATTAAGTGTGGTATGTTCGTAACCTATTTGTTGTATAGTACAGGATTTATTGTGGTAAGGTAAGATCTTCACATTCGGGAAGAGATTAAAGGCCTGGTGTGAGATACAAGGCCTGATATGTACCTTCTTTTCCTGTTTTACCTCTAGCGGGGGTACCGGGAATTGGGAATGACCTGGCTACGTTATGTGATGGATGTGATATTGCTGGTGCTGAAGCGGTAGCAATAGGCCTGACACCTTCGTCTGTAGGGGGGGGGTGGCATGTCTAATTGGGTTTCCCGTAGTACCGGCAGCGGCCATGGGTGACGGGGTGCATATAACGCAATGGCTCCTTCCCTTGCGAGCGGTGTATACAAGCAGCGTAGCTCTCAGCAATATTAATGGCTCCAAGCTGCTGCTCTTGGTAGTGCCTGTGGGTTCGTTTGTAGCGCGGGTGCAGCTCTGACTATTGAAACGTGCTAAAATGTACTATGCACCTGTCGTTGGGAATGCTGTGCGCCTCTTCACTGCTTGCAGGGAGCGAAGGTCGACGCTGAGGGCGTCCTGCAGGTGGTGGAGATGTACGTCAACACCAGAGGGGTGGGCCTAGCGGAAGCTTTCGTCCAGAGGTGGACGGAGGAGAACGGCGTGAAGCCGAACCGTAGGTGAGCGGGGACGATTAACGAGAACGACTTTGCACCAGGGCATTTTGGTGCTGATTTTTTACTCTGGTACGTGATTGTGGCTGACGATTATTCGGGTAGTAGAAGGAGTACGGTAGTTTTTTACTTCTATTTTTCCCCCCCGAAAAGGCACGGAGCGGAGTCGATTTTCAAAGGTAGAACAAAATCCCCGTCCGCGCGGTTCGTCCAAGTTAACAACCCTAACTTAGAGTGTTGGACGCTTTTTAGTCGGGTGTCCGCATGACCTTAGGAGTTTGCAACGTGTTAGCCATAGAACCGCACGATGTTGGTGATCGTTTTCTTCCGACCTCTGTGTCTGCGTTCCTGAGAACCAAGACTTTTTGTCTGTCCTCTGTGTCTTGTTATTCGTGGTGTTAATCTACATTCCTGACACCCAAGACTTTTCGTTTGTCTTGTAGTCTCTCGTTGTGTACCTACATTCCTGACTGCCAAGAGCTTGTGATTTCTTCTAATGTCTTCTTCTTCATGATGTTAATCTACTCCCCTGATCTCCGGCGATGTTTGCCATCGGGGTTGGGTTTTCGTCGTTTGGCAACGACGTTGTAAAACAAGCCGCCCCCCCCGGTGTTTGTGCCCCCCACTCGGTGTTTGCCATCGGGATTAGGTTTTCGTCGCTTGGCAACGACGTTGTAAAACAAGCCAATTCACTTCGTGAACTCGGCAACCAGGTTACCGTTTTTTTTTTTACCTCGGTTTTTTTTTTTGGCGGTAACCATAATGGTGGTCGAGTAGATCATGTTGTGCGGGGTGGAGAAACCTCACTCCGCGCAACGGGGGATGATCGCACCACGTTGTGTTAAAATGGTCAAGCTTCCTCGAGGCAGTTACACAGTGCTTACAACTGTCTCTGGAAGTGAAAGCACCAGAAAATAAATTAAGTCATACGTAGCTGTCATCCGTACGCAAGGAAGTAAGCACAAGATGCCGAACACCCTTAGCAGGATGGCAGCTCACCCTTCATGCGACTCGCCAAATACCTCACGGCGCTTCGCGCTTGGTGATGTGAGAGCCTGGTCCGGTGAGAACCCGGCGTGCTCCGTCCCGGCTTTGTAGGGATGCGAGGTCAATGGTCAAACGACTACGGCATGCACGACTATGAGTACACCCCCCCCCCCCCCGGGGTGGTCCCCCCGGAATTGAAAAAAAACCCGGGATTTCCCGGGGACCCACCGCTGCCCCCTGGAACCGGTTATAACCGGTACCCCGTTATCGACATCACTGGTAAAATATCAAGGCACAGGATTTGTCGAGGTATCAGTGGCAAAGGGGGCGGTTCAGTACTACACGCATTGGACGGGTGTACGTGGGAGCATGAAGTAGAGTTGGAGCAATATGGGGACGTGGTACTTAAGTATTGGAATCAGCAGCCGGAACAATCGGCCGGAGGGAACATGAGGTATCGGAGGTACCTACCGTATTCAGCGTGCAGAGAGGACGATTGCGAGTAGAGAAGGAGAAAGACACGTGAAGAAGGATTACAAACAAACTTTGTTGTGACACACGGGGTAGGCCGAGTCTTCGAAGTAGGGCGATGATTGGTGCATATTTATATTTTAAGACGGCAAAGGCTGCGTGGCAGTTTGCGAAGGTGGTGCAGGTGACCCCGGATCCGAGGTGGGAAGAAGGCATCATGCATACTATCAAGCTGGTGGACATCGGCAAAAACATCAATGTGGCGCTTCTGGAGAAGATTTTGAAGACGGACAACTTGGTACAAGATCCAGGAACGTGGTGCTGGCATGCACACCGAACGGCGAAAAGTGTGAAGAAGTACATGTTTGAGTTGGAGGATATGCAGTGTTGTGAAAATTGAAGTGCGTAGGACTGCGGAAAAGTGTGCCAAGTGATGCCACAGACTATGAGGGAGAGAGAGAGAGAGAGAGAGAGAGAGAGAGAGAGAGAGAGAGAGAGAGAGAGAGAGAGAGAGAGAGAGAGTTGGAGAGAAAGTGAAGCGGTGCAATTGGATAGATACAGGGAAGCGGCGCAATTAGCTCGTGTCAGCTGATGTTGCGTGCCCCCCTTTTTCAGCGTTCGAATTCCCTGCTGTTCCCGGCCCACGAACAGAAGGCCTAAGAAACACACTTTGATCGCACGCATCTTCGAGACGCGTTCACACACGACCCCACCGGCACATCGACACACATGTCCACACGCGCGAATAGGCCACCGCCGGCCGATTGCACGTCGTTGTTTGTCTTCTGTAATACGGTCAACGACGCTGTGTACAGTAGTATTGAAGATGCTGCCGTAGCCTATCTAAACCGAAACACTCTATCTACCGTATACAGGTGAACGGTAGAGAGTTTATGTACGTTTGTTGTGCAGTGTGCCACTACAAGTATACATGGTTGCCTGTCTTTCACAGGTGAACGGTAGATATATACAAATTGATCCAGTTTTAGTCTAGTCGTCATACCACGATGTATGTATGCACATTTCGTGGATACCAACAAGCATTTAGTGGAATATTCATACTTCCTTGAAGTTAATCAGAAGTTAGTAGGTTAGAGCGTTAGAGCGTGAAGGCGTCACTTTTTCGTGGAATTCTTTGTTGGTCGGCATAGTGCATAGTCTGTGGCAAGGTTCCAATAGTACCCAGGTAGGTCTGCTTCTGTAAAAAGTTGGACAGGGGTTGTTTTTATTTATTTATTTATTTATTTATTTATTAATTTATTGTTGTTGCTGTTGTTAGTTGTTAGTTGTTGTTGTTGTTGTTGTTGTGTTCACATTATTAAAAAACCGTTCGGATCTCTCTCTACCCAGTACCTTCGTATGACCGTGCTGTTCCAACACTCGATGCGGTCGATTCCAGTGGTCACAGGTAAACTTACCCTAAAAAGGTACACTCAAATAAACTGGACCTTTTTTTTAATATGACACAACGAATCGTTTGTTTGTCGTTGTACGCCACAGCTTTCTTATCTAAAACAATTTCGCTTGTGCTGTAAGCTTTCGAACATCACATGCATTGCATGCACATCGTGAAGTACAGGTTTGTTTTTGTCTTCTTCTTCTGTAATATTGCCAACGACATGCTGTGGTTTGAAGGTGCTGCTGTAGCCTCTACACTACTACAGTACCATATATATATATATTCCGGCTAGTATTTGTGGGGAGAGAGATGGATTTGTAAGAGTTGACGCCGGCCTTTGCAGCTAACGTGGCCGGAGAGACGATGAGCGTTTCGTGCGTCTCTCTCCCCAACACGTAGCCTAGAAACCGAAGAAATAATGAAGCAATTCGAAAGAAAACAAAATAAAAGGAAGGTTTGTTCGTCGAAGCAGATAGAATAAACTGGTGTTTATTTTGTAACAGTCGAATTAGAATTTGGCTTCATTTTCTACCGATAACCCAGGGTCACGGTGTTTGGAATTATTAGTCTATAGTTGGGGGTGTCATTCCGTGATCGAGTCCACGCAGGGGCTGTAGCAAAGTCGGGTAACGTGTGACAGCTACAGAGCGCGTGAAGCAACGGAAGGACAGCAGCAGCCGCCTAACGCAGTAGCGGCGGCAGTT